GTGGGCAGACAAGGACCCAATTCAGTGCGCAGTTATGTGGGTGAGGAGCTGACACTTGTGGCGACAGTGATCATTGACAAGGTTCCCACGGCCGCCACCCCGTTGCTGGGCGTGAGCATGCATGGTTTTTCACCCAGGAAACATCTCGTGCTGCGGTACGACGAGCGTCGGCACTGGAAGACGAGGTTCGGGGAAGAAGAGAATGCATCAGCAGCTGCCTGGGAGGTGGGGACGGTGTACCGAGTGGCGCTCACGGTGCAGAAAGGCGGCGGCTCGGCGTACGTCGACGGGCAGCTTGTGGGGAGTTTGGAGGCGAACCGCCCATCTGATTCGTTACGACCGCCTCTGCCTCCGCCTCCGCCTCCGCCTCCGCCTCCGCCTGGATGGGGGGTTGGGCCGAGAATACAATCTGAACTGGTCTCAGGCATCGTCTTTGGGGGTTACGATGAAGACACCGAGGAAGACGCGGAGAGCCACGTGACGGTGAAGAACGTCTTGCTGTACAACCGCTGCTTCAACGGCAGTGAGATTGAGGCACTGGTGAGGAGGAAAGAGAGCGGGGCGGCGCCAGGCCCGAACAACGCCTCTGCCCCACATGCCAAGAGGGTTTCGGAGGCAGCGCCAAAGGAGGTTGACGGCGGCGACGGCTCTGTGCGTGGGCATCTGTCTGGGATGCTGTTGCCGCTGCTTCTGCTGCTTGGGCTGTGGGGCTTCTCCGCGCTTTTCTGACCGGCGACGTTGTGGGCTGCGCCGCGCAGAGGGAAAACATGCGAGCCCCTAACTTAATTGCGGATCCGCTTCGGATCATCTTGCTTTTCGCCCCAGCCATGGGCTGGTTCCCCCGCTGGGTGGAACGCCGGGCAAAATTTCTTTTTTTCCCACTTTTTTTCCCTTTTTTAATTTCTTCTTTTTTTTGCTTTTTTAATGGTTTTTTTTTTTTACTTCGCCCACTTTCTGCAGGGAGGGGCGGGCCTCACTTTTGGCTGAGGCGCCCGCAATGAACGATGAACGCTGCGTGAGCATGAGGGGGCCCAATTGGGACGGAACGAAGGTATATCTATTTTATTGTTATTATTATTTTTATTTTTGGAGGCGAGTGGGCGGGCGCTGTGAATTATTGTTATTTTGCCGGAAACCGCCCTGGTTGGAAATATGCTTCTTTCAATTTGTTGCTTTGAAGGCGGCGCGAAGGGCAGAGTTGTTGAGGCGCACGTTTGTGGGGCAGGCCGCCGAACCGCGATGGCCACCGCACAGGCGTTTTGCTTGGAGGCGGCGCGGCGCCCCAGCGGCGTGTTCATTTGATTTTCGCCCGGCATCTGCGCCAGACATGGTGCCCCACGCGGAGGGCGCGCGTTTCATCGTGGAGGGGGATAATTCCATTTGTTTGACTTTGAATGGGGCCACCGCACGGGGCTTGCCGCGCTGCAAGGTTGAAGGGTTTCCTTCGCGGTGTTGTCGGAGCCTGGGGTCCCCTCGGGGGCTTTTTACGGCGGCCACGGCAGCCCTCCGCGCGGGATGGGCGGCACACGAGGAGCGTGAGTCGGCGCCGCGCCACCCGCACGATTGCGCCGGGGCTCAGCTGAGCAGTCAACGAATTCAGCTGCGGTGCGCCGCCAGCTGCCCCGCACCCGTTGGGTAAGCGCCCAACGGGCGGTGAAAACCAACGAAGGGAGAGCCCAGCCCGGTGGGAAGGAGGTGCGGGTGCACAGTCTGCCGGACCAGAGGGGTCTTGCCGCAGCCCACGCCACCGCCAGCCCCTTCCTACAGAGGCCTCCAGCAGGCCATAACTGCGACCGATTGATGTGTGTGTTTTTTTCTGCGGGAGGGACCCAGTTGATAATAATAGTGGTGGTGGTGCATGCACCCGCAATTTAGGAGGGGTTGCAGGAACCCAGGCTGCGGGCGGCAGCGCCGAGAATCCGTCTCGAATTTCGGATTTCCGAAGCTTTGACGGCGCCATGCGGTGCCCGATGAATTCCTCGCCCGGCCGGCTGCTGCGCGCGTCTGAATTGTTATCTCCTCCAAACCGGCAAATTGGACCATACCTAATCGACGGCGTAGGAGAATGTTGCGTCTATTTTCTGGCGTTGCCTGTCTTTAAGGGGATGCTGGCGCCTTGGCCTGCCTTTCTCTGCGTGCCCCCCTCGCCCTCTTTTCTTTTTTCTTCTCGCCGCTCCGCCCCGCCCCGCGCTGGGCTGTGCGTGTGCGCGCGCGTGCTGCGGCGACTTGAGCGACTATGCTTGGCCGTGTGCTGTTGGCGCGCGCCCTCTCTGCGTGCTGTGCTGCGCCGGCGCCGGCGTCGGTGTCGGTGCGTGGGGCGGCGGCTACTGCACGGAGAGTGGCTTGAAGGACTTGCGGGTGGTCGCGGAGGACATGGCGGACGCGGAAATTCGGGCGAAGTACAGCAGCCGCAAGGCGGGGTTTGTGAAGGGGCGCGGGCGGGCCCGCAGGAAGGGGAAGAGGAGACGAACGCGAGAGATGGGAACGGGGCGAGCGGTGAGGAGATACGGATGCAAATGAAGGTGGTCTTTTGACAGACGGCGGC